TCCTAAGTAATGTTTGAAATATCTCCAGTTTCATTACTGCAAACAACATTGCTACCAGCATCTTTGTACAAATTATTGTATTCTTTTGGCTTTTTCTAATGTACATTACCAAAAGGAGGATTATCTGGCCAAAGGCATTCACTGATTTTAAAAACTAAAAACACGGAACATGATACTCTACACAATTAAAAACAAACAAAACAAACCCTTCAATTTGGGGCTAGAAAAGTTAAGAGAAAGGCAAAAGAGGAAAAAACAGGAGAAAATCATTTATTCATTCAACAAATATTTGAGCACCTACTGTATGCTAGGCACTATTCTAAGAATATGGGACCCATCCGTGAATAGGAAACTAAACAATTCCTGCCCTTGTAGAGCCTATCTTCTAGTGGGAGAAGACAAATGATAAACGTAATAATAAATGGGCTAATTATATAATAAGTTGGAAGGTGATAAGAGCTATGAAACAAGGAAAATAGTAGGCTAAGGGAACTCGGAAGTGGCAGAGGAACAATGGAGGGAGGTGGATTGCAATTTTAAAGAGGGGTTGGGGAGAGGCATCATTGAGTAGGGGACATTTGAGCAGAGACTTAAAGGAAGTGAGGAAGTTAGCTGTGCAAGTATCGATGGAACTGCATAACAGGCAGAGGGGACAATGTCAGATATCCTGGAGAGACAGCAAGGAGGCCTGTGTGGCTGGAACAGGTGAGGGGAAGAGAGGTCAGCGAGGTCAGCAGGGCCACATCATGTAGGGTCTCAGAGGCACTTGTAAGGACTTCAACTTTCTCTTTCCCAAAGGAGGCTGCGAAAAGCCTACACTGGATTCACTTTCTTTAAAAGGGCAGAAGCTGGACCCATCCTTAATCCCTGAGCCAAGTCTTTGGGATGAGACTAGGGAACTACTGTATTTCTGACAAATTCCTCAGTGTGATTCTGATGTCTATTTAGGTTTAGGACTGCTTTTTCTGCTCAAAACTCCTACAATTCTAAATTAAAAATAATTGAATAAAAGGAAGTAAAAATTTCATAGCATTCCTGAATGTTGGTGATTTAGAATCTTTGGCGATTATCTAAGAAATGGAAGCCCAGAGGTTAAGTGACTTGCCCAAGGTTATACAGCTCTAAGAGGCAGAACTAGGTTTTAGATTCACCCTTCTAACCCTGAGTTCAATGTACCGTCCACTGTCCTGGGCTCCCTAATAAATGGTATCATTTTACTTATCAGGTGGTTAGATTTCCAATAAGCTCCACCATTAGGAATATAGTTTGAATCCAGAAGCTCTGTATGGTTGATTGGTTGATTACATATTTGATTATCTAAAAATCAATCAGATAGCTGCTATTATTTTAACCTTTACAGTTAAGAATCATTCAAAATGTATTAATCACATTTTCTGCTTCTTTAGAGGCAATCTGTAAGAGCCATACCATCTTAAAATTGGAAGGAACCTTAATTTTTCAGGATCTTGCCATGCCTCTGGGTCATAACTTTAAAGTAAGCTCTTATTTAATCTATTAGAAAACGTATAAGCCATTCAGGTGACCCTGGGCATATCTGAGGTTTAGTTTTTTTTTAATATGTTTCTGATTTAGTTTGCTTTCTTTTGATTTCTTGGACATTTTCTGTTGCTAAATTTTTTTTTTTATAACATTGGTTTTCCTGCCCTTATTCTGTAACTTGGGCCTGAGTTTTATCTGCAGTGCCTGAGCTTGTAGGCTTTGCTGTCACCCTGGGTTACACTGAAGTAGTGAACGGGAATTGGTTCAGAAATCACTTACATGGGCAAGAACTCAGGCCTCAGAACTAAGCTGTGGAAACGATTTCAGTGAAATTATTTTTCCTTCCCTTGCACACTTCTGCAAGTTTCAGCAACCAGATCTGTTCCAGCAGTGGAGGCAGGTTGCACATTCCCACTGAGAATACTCGGTGAAGATCATAGGAATACACTATTTTTTCCTTTCACTAAGCCACAATTGGCAGTGGAGGATGTGTCTGTGCTATTGGCTGCTTTGGGCATGGGAAGAAAATTGTGTATCTAGTGCATTTCCCCTTCTATCTTCTATTCCTGGGAAGGAGTTGCATTCAGTGAAAGGCACTGGTCCTAATATGAAATGTCCTATTAACCTACTAAAGCAGCCCTGTCCTGTTCACTAGCTACCTTGAGGTCATCTATTCGTTCGAGGCATAGTTATTATTATTTTTTTTAATGTAGAAATTTCAACTTAAATTTGTTTCTGGGTGACTCGTACCTTCATGATTCAGCTCCTAATGTTCTCTACTAGAAGACTGGTTATGTTTCTGTTTTTTCATAGTCTTCTTGCCTTCTAAAGCTGCAGTGAGTGGAGTGCTTTTCTCTTCTCTGAGTAGTTTCATCACATTCCTAGAGACTACTCTGAAATAGTAGACATGTGGCATGAGGATTAACATGGCTCCAAATTTCAGTATGTTGAGAGTGAAAGATAATGAAGGATAATGACTGAAATGGGTGTGTATGAGAGAATCATAGATAAGCTTTAGGAGTGAGTAAATCCCGACTTGAACATTACATCAGGGGTTGGTATGGGGACTAGTGCTTTTAACTGATGTAATTTAACTGATGTTTGCCCAGGTCCTAAATGGTCCCTTGGAAGCAGAGCAGATGGTAGCTAGTGGGCTTAGCTTTAAATGAACGAATGTCCCCATATCTCAGTCTTGTCCATTTAATGTGGCGCTCTTATAGGCATGGATGGGGCAAGGAAGCACGGCCCCCAGCAGTTGGAAGGGAACTCCAGTGGAGGCTCTGATGCCAGGAAAGAAAGAGTCCTTGAGCTGCTGGCCGTGTTGCCAGAAAGCCCTTGGCTTAGCTGTCCTCCCCTAAGGGAAGGGCCTCAGCTGCAGAGAGCCACCTAGCCCAGGGCTACTGAGGTGGACTGCATGTAATGGCTTATCTCTGTGGGGGTATTAAGGCCCATCCTCCCAGCTCCAGGACAACCCCGAAACATCATCCCAGCTTTAGATCCTCCCTGCAGGGGTGCCTGAGGCAAGGTCAATTTCTTCCTTTGCTCAAACCTTCTTCCCTCCCCTTCTTTCGTTCCACAAACATTGATCACAAGAACACTTTCTAATAAACCTTCTTCTGCCTGCTAAACACCATCCCAGAATCTGCTTCTTGGGGAAGCCAACCTGTGCAGAAATTTTATGAGCAATTTGACTGCCCATTAGAAAATATAACATAGACTTTTTCGAGATTAGCTGGAGATGGACTTTTCGTATTATGAGAGAGAGAGAGAACAAGAGAGCGTGCGCTAAACTGAGAAGAAAAGCAAAGGTAGAATAAGGTTAGATTAGCTCTTTATATCTGAGTGTGGGGTTGGGGGTGACACTTTGCTACTCTATGAAGGTTAGAAGCCATCATTTGAAGTCTTCATCCAGTCATGCCAAGAGTTGACGGTGCGAGGAAAGAAAGGAAGAGAAAAATGAAAGAAATTATTTAAAATTGGATACTTCTTTGTGCTTTGCGTTAAGGCAGTGCTTTTGCCCTTGCTCATAAGCAACTGTAGATAAAGTCCTTTCTTATGCCATCTCTATCTCCCTGTGCCATGTGGCAGTGGGCAGGAATGACTGAGGGAACCAATGACTAAATGGGCAGTGGTGCCTTACACCTGTAACCCAGATTTCACAGCGGGGGAGGGATGGACAGCAGTTTTGCTTCTAAAGACATTCTCATTCTTCCCTAGTGCAGCTTAGTGCCTGTACCCCTCACTAAGCGGAGCGAGGGAAGGCATTTTTGACTGCCCAGCCCAGAGTGTGAGGAACAGCAGTGGGCAACGGGAGGCTGGCGGGCTAGAAGCCAGGGTGAAAATCTAGTGGCACTCAAGGAAGAGGTGAAAACTCTGGGAGAGAAAGCCAAGAACCATGCAGGCAGCTTCTTTTTGTTCTTTCCTTGGCTCTTAGGGGAATTTGCGTGTTTAAAGGTTCATTTGCTGCAGGAACTCCCATCCTTGGCATGAACTTCCAAATGATGAGTAGACATGGAATGGGCTTCTGAAGACTGGGTCACTATCTGGCTCAGCCTTCAGAGGAGGTGGGGTGCAGCTGCAGGGAGAGGACTGTCCTACGGAAGCATAAGGTCTTTCGCTGAGTGTGTTGAGAGGCGAGCAAATGCCATAGGTGGGCCTGGGCTATAGGGTCCCTGCAATTTCGGGAGGGGCATCCTGGTGTTTAGCTCAGGGATGTATGAAAATCTCGTGGAAAGCGAGAGGCTTATTGAGGTGCTGCTCAGGCTACACAGCCCTCAGGGCCTGGCCCGGGGTGTGTGGCCGCAGGGGAAGAGGGGCTGGGGCGCCGGGGGGCGACGTCGGGTAGAGTGCAGAAGGGACGAGGCCTCGGGACAGCGGAGGAGGAGCGCGGGCAGGGCGCCGAGGCGTGGTGCCGGCTGCCGCGCACAGGGGCCGGGTGGCGGAGCCGAGCCGCGGGCACGCTCTGCCCAGGCGGGAGAGCTCGGGGAGCGGCGGGCGGGGCTGAGGGGCGCAGCGGGGCCCGAGCGGCGGCGGCTGCGGAGCGGGGGCACCTGGGGAGGAAGGAGGGTGGGGGCGAGGGCGGCAGGGGCGCAGACTGGAAGTGGGAAAAGAAGGCGCAGGCAGGCGGGCGGGAGGGCGCCCTGGCCCGGGGCCGCGGGCGCGGGAGCCCGGCGAGGTGGAGCTGGGCGGCGGCGGGGGCCGAGCCGCGGGAGGAGGGGAAGGCGGAGGCGCGGGGAGCGTGTTTGGGGCGCCGCGGCGGGGAGGGTGGCGGCCGCCGGTGCGCGCGGGGCGCTGTGTGTGCGCGCTCCCCCGCTCGGGGAGGAAGATGGCCCAAAAGGGAAAGTTGGGGTGACGCGCGCGGCCCCCGGAGGCTCGGCTGGGGGCACCGCGGCGATCCCGACGGAGCGGCGGCCAGACAGGCCGGGGGGCGCGCGGTCCGGGCGCCACCGCGCCCGCCCCCTCACTGCAGGTGGCAGCGGGTGCGCTGGGTCCCGGCGGCCGCGGGCGCGGGCGGGCGCGCGAGGGAGCCCGGCCGAGGGATGGGCTGCGCCCCCAGCATCCATGTCTCGCAGAGCGGCGTGATCTACTGCCGAGACTCGGACGAGTCCAACTCGCCCCGCCAGACCACCAGCGTGTCGCAGGGCCCCGCGGCGCCCCTGCACGGCCTCTTCGTCCAGACCGACGCCGCCGACGCCATCACCCCGAGCCGCGCGTCTGGACCCCCCAGCGCCGCCCGCGTCCGCAGGGCTCGGGGCGAGCTGGGCAGCAGCAGCAGCTCGGGCTCCGCAGCCCCCGCCGCGACCACCTGCAGGGGCCGGAGGCGCCACTGCTGCAGCAGCGCGGAGGCCGAGACCCAGACCAGCTACACCAGCGTCAAGGTAAATGCCAGGAGCCTTGCGCAGGCTGGCGGGGGCCGCCCGCCCCGTCCGGGCGGGGCTCGCACGGGTTGGGGGCTCCGACGGAGTGGCCGTGACGCGGTTGGTTTGGAGAGGTTATCACTAAGGAGTTTACTTTTGATTTGTAGGGGTGATGAGGGCCCTGGACATGTGGGTAGTAAAACCCCTGGAGGGGTCCTGGGAGCGTCCTTAGCTGGTCCTGGGGGACGGGGTGGAGAAGGGAGCGCAGAGGGAAGCAGGTGGGCTGGCCTGTTCCTCCTTGAGGGGAGGAATGCTCGTTTATGCCAGAGGAGGGGAGGGTATCATTGGGAGCATTCGGTGGTGGCGAGTCCTATTGAATGAAATCTGAGCGCTGCGCTGGATTTGTGTGCCTTGTAGGTGACTGGTGCAGACGCAGTACCAGGATAAATAGTGCCCCATATTCAGATTTTTACCTGGGAAAACCAGGCAGGCTGGAGAGCGAGCGGCAGGGATTTGTGAATGAAACATTGTGTCTGTGTTTTGAGAAGAGATGTAGGAAAGGAGCAGAGGAGAACCTGTTGTTTGTCACTTTAACGTTTCTCTGGGTTGGCTGCGTCCTGACATAATTGAGAGAACGGGGCCACGAGTTTGGAGTGTCAGCAGAGCTACGTGGTTTTCAGTGCAGTGCAGCTGACCGAAGATGAAGATTCAGCACATACCATCTGATCTTTCAGGAAAGTGGAATTTTGAGAAAGTGGGAAAAAAATTGTTTAAATGGTTAAAGCAGCCACTAGATATTTCTTAATGACAGAGAAAAATGACTGTTTTAATACAGCCCTCCTGTATGTTCTCAAGGTGCGGTTAAATCTAAGAGGCTTTTCATTGTGTAAATCTGAGCACTGGGCCTTTCTTCCTTACAGCAAACAGAATGACAGTGACACATCCCATTGTGTAGAGGGAAAAATACATTTCTATGACTCTTACCGTTAGATAGAATTGCAGCGTTTACATGGTCAGTAGATTACCAAGAACCATTCCACTGATTCTTTGGCAAAGCCACAATTGTATGTTTAATAGGTAAAAACTTGGTCTTTGGCTGAAGGCAGCCCATGTTGGAGGAGCAAGGTGAAGAAAATAGCATGTTCTGGCTTCAATCTAGAAGTCCAAAAGCACTTGATTTTTTTTTTTTTTTTAACAGCATCTGATTTTCTAACATGAAACTTGACTGTTTATTTGTAGATGTAGTGTTTCTCTGGTAATAATCAATCACCACAATAAAAAATACCATTTATTGAGTACCTACTATGTGCCAGGAATAAGCTTTCTCTTTTAACTATTGAGTGTTAACAGTGTGATGATAGCAAAAAATATCCAAAGACTAGAGATCTGGATTCATGGCAGTTACCATTTATGACAGAGGCAGGAGCTGAGCACTACCCTGGCTTTTGTCAACTTCCTTCCCCCTCCCGTTCACATAAAGTTAGCTTTAGGAGGAATTTTAGGGGATTCAAATGTTACTTTTGGTGAAATCATTAATTTGGGATGTTGTCGATAAAGAGGATCCTTTTGCCTTATTGTTGAAGACCTGAAGCAGGAGTTCGGAATGATGACAGCTCATGAACTCCGTGACACTTTTTTTGGTTGCTCAAGAGAAATTGTGTATTTTTTGCCCCTCAGGGTAACAAGAACCTCAGTTTAGTACCTGGCAACTATAGCTATTCCATGTTTGTTCAGTGAAAGAAAGAATAATGAATGAACCCATTCTCTGTGTTTTAATACTTCCCTCAAGAGGCTACTTAGAGACCAAATGGAGTAAAAACTGGAGGGAGAATGAGTTCCAATTATTACCAGCTAGGATAAACTTGTATAAATCTCATTGCTGCTCAGCTTAAGTGTTACGAGGCTTGACCTGGGTAGGAATTGAACTCATTTTGCTTTATCAACAAGATTGGCAAGTAAAAGCTCAGTTCATTCCAACCTGTTACTAAGAATGTTGGAAATGAAACTGCTAGTTCAGTAATTCAACACTACTTTGCATTGTGTGGATCTTAGAAACTATAAATTTGAAATTAAATTTGAGACCAGAGTTATTTATACAAACCGTATAGAATTATTGTCACAGAATTGCCCTAATATATTGAATAGTAGTATCCTTTTAGGCTGTGTGATACACTGTTATATTATCTTTTTCAGTCTTAAAGTTCACATGTTCTGTACCCTTTTGTGGATGAGATAACTTTAGAGAAACTTTACTTTCATTTATTTTTAGAATAAGAATTCTTTTTTCTTAAGAGTTTGAGATATTTGCTAGCCATGTGGCTCCCACCCCTCTCCAAAATGCTCAGGTGGAAAAGTAAAATCTTTGCCATTTGGTTCTGATTCCAGCAGTGATGGGTTGCAATAGTCCCCCTCCACTTTTTACATCAATTATAAACCATATCCTCATTATCTGCTTGGCTTCTGGTATTCCCCAGAGTGCAGAAATGTTTGCTTGATCTTTTTGTCTTTTCTAGCAATAATTCATCTCATTAAGCTTTTAGAATGATGAAGCATTATGATGTCAAACATGATGTCAACAGGAACCTTCCTGAATACCTAATTTACGAAGAAAAGGATTATAAACATTAATAATTCATGTGCAGTACAATGATCACATGGGTTTTCATTTCTGGTAAGAAGTTAGATTCGCCTCCCAATTGCTGTAAAAATGCAACTTCCTAGCAATTTCTCTCCCTCTCGCTTGCCTTTTTAAAAATAGTACTCCAACAGGAGAATCCTACAGGATGCTCACTCTTGATATTGTGCCAGTTTTGTAGTTCTTGTTCAGAAATTCTCAGAGGAGATGAAGAACCTGGGATTCTTACAAGTCTTTTCTCATACCAGCTGTTTCTGCTTGGGAGTGTCCAGGACCAGGCAGCCAGTTGTAGAAAAGAGTCTTTATCGACAATACTGTCAACTCACTGTGACCTCTGTGTAGATTAACTATTTTGTGGATCAGGCACAGGAAGTTGTTAGCTTCCCAGTGACTTTGCACTGATAGGCAGCATCGCCAGCTCCCTCCTTTCCCTCCATACATTGGGCTCATTCATTCATTCATTCATTCAGTTAGCATTTGTGCCAGACTCTGTTGTAGGTGCTAGGGGTTCAGGGAATATCTGTGAAATTTAGTGAGCAAAGCCTAATGAGGAGGGCAAATGTCTTATAAGAGACTGTGCTTAAAACAGTTATTATGACTTCTGTATTATACGTTCTATGACATTCTAGAATCAGTGAGGATAATCCTGAGTCAACTATATGTAAAAGGAAAATAGATATTTTTCTGACCTTATGGCAAATAATAATGAGATTTTATTGGAGGGAGGGATAGAACTATTTTGGGAAAAGTCATGTTTGTTTGTTTTCTAAGTCAGTGTCTCTGAGTTTCTAAGTCAAACTTTAGTGTGCATCAGAATTACCCAGTGAACTTATTAAAATACAGATTTCTGGGCCCCACTCCTGGAGTTTCTGATTCAGTAGGTCTTGGGTGGAGCCTAAGAATTTGAATTTCTAGCAGGCTTCCAAGAAGATGCAAGTGTTGCTGATCCAGGGATCACACTTTGAGAATCACTGCTTTTAAATTAATTAAATTATCTGTTGACCAGATGAATTAGGTGGGGCCACCTCTACCAGAGTGTGTAGTACCATGTTGCCTGTATTTGGGGTACTAGTCATAGCCCTGCCTTCATATTAGTTTACTTTTGTGCAGGAAACCTGCCGTCTTCATTAATGAGGACAAACTCTGAACCTCCAAGGCTGGCTGGAAAGTCTGTAAGTGGAGAGAGTGCTGGACCATGTAGCCAACTCTGGTTTCTTGAGGTTCACGTCTCCATAGGAGCCTTTTGGGTTTGCACAGATGCCAGTGTTTTGCTTTGCCATCATAATCCCTCACCTGCCTCTGCCCTGGTGGGTTTATGTCTTGCATGATAGGGAAACTGTAAGGCAAGGGAGGAGCCCAAAACAGGGTTGGATGTCACGTGATATAGGTACATATTCTGTTCTCAGCTATTGGAATTCTTGCTAGTCCTTTCACCATCATTTCTAATTTTAAAATGGAACATGAAGTTTAGTAAGCTCAAGTGAGTCCTGCAGGTTGACTTGGCAAAACCCAACTTTATCTTCTGCCATTGCACATTTTATTACAATTTTATCTCTCTTCCTTCTCCCAACATGTAAATTAGAGCAAGTTAAGTGCATTTTCCTAATTTGTACTTCTTTCTTCAGTAGTTACACTAATTTTTAAGGACTATCAGGTAATTCTTCTTTTTGACTCTGTGAAATAATTCCATAAGCCAGAAAGTAACATAGTGCATGCCACTAGCTTTGCAGAGATGATATGGTTTCTACTGCAGTCCCACCCTGGTGACTGGGCCTGGGCTGCAGCAGGACAGGGTGTTCTGGTGAGGGCAGGGCAGTTCCCTGGTGTTGGGTGAAGGCCAGGAATCAAAATAGGAAGGAGGGAGTGGGCCCCATAGAAGCAAGTGGGAAGACAGAGTCCAGAGTCTGGAAAACCAGCAAAATTGGGAAGGAGAAGGTGAGAACTTTGGGGTGAGGTGGGCCAGTAAAATCTAGAATTTTAGGGTTCAGCAAATGTGACAATTGTTGAACCAGGTTGCAACTTTTGATTGGGAAATAGAAGCTATTCACTTTCTGTTCTCTTTGGGGCTCCTTGCTGAGTGTAAAAAGCTTAGGGCCACAGGAGGTGGCGGTGACGCTTGAGAGGGCTGTAGGTAACCCAGTAAACCATGTACCATACAAGGCAAGACCAACCAACCAGGCCTTCTATGTATCCTGACCAGACAGAGTCTGGGCAGGAAACAGGTGGCACATCCAGAAGTGAACTGAAATTAATTTAAGGAAGGGACTGTTTCAGCTGTGTTGGTGGAATGAAGGAAAGCCAGCAAGTGATGCTGAGGCACCCTAAGACTAGAAAAAGAGGGAGCTGTTACCACCCTAGAAGAATCAAGGGGAGGGAATGGTTCTGG